TATATATATATATATATATATAATTTATTTGGCAAGTATCAACAAATTCATTGGGTAAAGTAATAATGCTCTGTATTATTGATGTAGTAATTGAAGTAGCAACCACATAAAAACTTACGGTGCTATTGCCATTGCATCAGTGGAAGCGTTCATAATCTGCAATTATTTTTTGTTTTATTTTTCAGGGTCCTCCTGGTCCCAAGGGTGACAAGGTGAGTAGTCATCTATTCGATGTGTACCTTTTTGATGCAGAATGGCAAATCCATGCTGATGTTCAACTGGAGCATATTAAATGCCTAGTAAAGTCTGTGACATACAATCAGCATTTGTGAGAGAGTCACAGGGTACCTCAGAGTCCTTGTTAAAACTATCATCTCATCTTTCCCCTTTGCAGGGAGATCAAGGTGATCAGGGCCCTCGGGTAAGCACTTTCAAAAATGTTCCGCTGCTAAACACATTGGTTAAAATCCCAAATCAATGCAGCAGTCCCACTGTGTATCTATGTTTAACAACCGCATCTTCTCTGCATGCTCCAGTCACTACCTCAGCAAAGTCAGTGTTATGTTCATCTGTTGTGGCCATAACCAGATAATGCTTTTGGTACATACCCATTAAACAGCAGTTCTCCAGTAAAATGGTGTGTGATCTGACTCTACATTTGCTTTAGGGAGCTGCTGTTTAAATAGAATCCTATGCAATAGTGCAATAGTTTTGATGGTTAGAATTAACACGCATAGTCACTGTCCATTGCTCTTTAAAGAATAATTCCACCTTAATAAACTAGTATTTATTTAATTTAATTGATGATATAGTTTCGGATTTCTTTCACTAGAATCTGTAAAACTTACATCAGTAACTTACCTGCCATGAATACCTTTGCTTGATTCAGACAGATGCAATTGTTGCTTATGGTCTTTAGCATTTAAATATTTGAGTGCCAGGTAGTAAGCAAAGAGCTTCACTAGAGAAAGTAATGCTTTATGTCATCAGACTATTAATTCACATGCTTGGACTCTGGACACACTGGATTTTAATTACTAAAGGTGTAGAAGCTAAGCACTTTGCTAAGTAAATGTTAATGTCGTCTAGCTGTACAGACCACCAAACAAGAGAATGGGGAGATAGTTTCATGTTTCCTGAACTATAAAGGGTCTTCTGACCCTTCTTAGCATCCCATGAAACCATTCCTCCCTGTAATTCTTTAGCCTCAAATGTACAGAAGTGGGCATAATAAGGAAGATTTGTTAATTTTGGTGCTACTCTCTCTAACCTTGATGCCCTAAGCACAGGCCCATGCGTGCCATTTCTGTAAATACAGCCCTAATTACATGCAATCAAATCCTGCAAAAAAAACATTTTACACACAGATCAGTACTACAAATTGTTAACTGAAATTGTTATCATGCAATTTGCTAAAAACAGACCTGGCTTTGGTGCACAGGGCAAGTAACACAGTAAGAACATGTCTATCAACGACAAGATTTCAGGCTTCCTTTCATACTCGTGGAGTTATTCTTTAAAGCAAGCAAACCTAGCTTTATTGGCATCGCCTAGACTTTGTTATAGTGGATCAATGAAGTAGACCTCTATAGTATCTACAGCCAGACTAATTTAGTAGTACAGGCTTAACTCATAAAAGAAACCTTTGCTGAGCAGAACATGGGGGCTGCCATTGTTGACTTCTTCTGCCATTTCTAGTTGTCATGCTGCCATGCTGGCCCTATGGCATTAAAACCTTTGAGTCATTAACCCAGAACAAATATGCAAGTAAGAACTTTACTTGGACTTCGGATCTGTTTTGTGTCAGTGGCTCTGAAAGTTTTGAAGCCAGTCAGTCAGCATAATAGCCAGGCAACCACCCTTTTCAGAGGAAGAATAGCAATTGCCACCCTTATCTTTAGCTTAAGAAAAAGTTTATAAAGACACAATTTGTATTACATTTCTTTTATAAGGAGCATTGTTTCTCAGTAAATGTTGCATAGCCAATTTCTCAATTTAAATCGTTGGCCAATAAACTTTGATTGATTTCTATAGATGTTTATAAATGTGGTATATCCCTGCTTTTTTGAGCCCTATGTGTGTACTAACTGTGTAATAATTTTGTTATAGTACATTGTTGTTACATAATAGAAGTGTATTTATACCACGGGGAGCATGCGAGACAAATTGCTTTGCTTACAGTGTGAAATCATTCATATAACACGGTAGCACAAACTAACTACCAAACAAATCATTAATTTGTGTATTGGGCAATTAATTTTTTCCTCATTTGCTTTAAAGCTCCAATGCTAGTAACATATAATCAGAAATCAGTGATATGAGAATACAACACAGGTATTTGAAACAAGCACATCCCTGTGTTTTTCAAATTGGCTTAGCATACAGCAGTTGCCTGTTTTATTGTTTCTCAAGAATTTGTATGGTTTCCAGTGTAGAAAGACACTTGCAGACCTCTTATCATGTATTCCAGTTATATAGTGGGGAGAACAATTAAGAATAATATGCACTTTGCATGGTGCTATATTGTATCAGACTTGCTTCTTAATTAAAAAAAGAAAGTGAAAATAGATCCTTGTCTTTGTTTTCATATCCATGGCAAGCGCACTCCTATGGTATAAATAATATATGTGATGTCATGCAGTATAATAGGGATTTTGGTATTCATGCTGAGATGACAACTGGGAATAATCCTCTCATTAGACACAATCTCTCAGCAGAAATATTAAAATCCAGATTTCACAGTGTGTGTATTGTAATCAATGTTTGTACACCATGCGTGACTGTGTATATATTTCCAATACAAACTCTCTTATAACTTACATTTAGATTTTAAATATACTGATGTTTTCCTACTAACCAAATAAATAGGACTTTCATAGCTTACTCTCATGTTGTTTTACAATGTACTGTCTGCCGGTTCTAGACTATAGCACTGATTTTTCTTATCTGTAAATATAAAATGCCACAAGAGAAAAAAAGAAGAGTTAAGCTGGCCATATTTCAATTGAATTGTGTTTGAAAAATTTGATTTTGGAACATTTGTTTGATTTTGTAATAGTTAAGGGGGTCAAAAGACAATCATTTTTTTTACGTAGTGACCAAACAAATAAATGAGTAGGATGGAAAATGTTTCTTGAGTGAACAGAATTCGAATAATAATTGCGGTTTTCGTTTGAAAAACTCCATTAATTTCCAAATTCCAATCTTAAAACCAAATGAATCTTTGAATGACATTCTACAAATTTCTGATGGCATTATTGAATGTTCTGACGAGATTTTTCGCATAAAAGCGTTTGTTCACAACTAAGTGCTCGTTTTGTGTAGGGAGCTAAAATAACAAAGTTTTACTCACCTGAACTGCGATCTAATTCTCCTACACTGCTTCCTCTATCCTGTCTCCTCCTCCGATGGTATGTCCCTCTGTGTCCTCATGTTCTATACACTGTATAGAATGTAATAACTCACGGCCCATAGATCGCTGGAGCGGAGGGGGAGCAAGGCTGAAGGGAGCGTTTTAAGATCAAGCCGTAATCAAGGTTCGGATAAGTATAGTTTTGTTATTTTAGCTCCCTAGACAAAAATTAGCACTTAGCCTTTGCAGTGCAGGGGTAGCCCCACTGCAAGGGTTAAGATTGTATTTGCCCGGAATTCTGCTTTAACATTAAAACAAAGCAGTCTTTAGGTTGACCAGTGTTGGAAACTAAATGGGCAAATATTCAAAACCTACAACTGACCCTGAAAGTTGACAGATTGACAGTTGGCATACATTATGTTCATATGTGCCCATAGGCAGTATGGGCTGAGATTATTGACTCTGTTAGGACATAGGTGAGCTACATAACCTAGGTAGATGATCATTAAGTATTATCTTTAACCCTGAACCTAGAGTGTTTTAATATGCAGTGAATCAAAAATCAGCAGCCTCACAATATACACTGAGTGGCCAGATTATTATAACCACCTGACGTTTGTAGGCAAATTAGCTATAATTTCGCGCTGAAGTTGCTAGAGGGCCAGACCATCATAAATAGGGAAGCAGGTTGTTTACCACGACAGTAGAAATGATGTTTTTCTGAAGATATGGGTAAACAACGCGATTTAACAGCCTTTGAACGTGGGATGATTGGTGGCGCTCTGAGCCATTGAGCGAGTATCAGCAGAATTTGTTAAATGTTCAAGAGCAGCTGTTGTTAAAGTGTTTAAAGACTGGACTGTCAGCCGAAAATCTGGGTCTGAAAGTGCGAATTGTGGCCGTCAGCAACTAGTCAATGTTAGGGCAGAACAGAGAGTGGCAAGACTGGTACAAGACAACAGAAGGGCAACAGTGCATCAAATTACTGCAGATCTTAATCAGGGACCCTCTCAAATGATCTCTGAATGCACTGTTCGCCGTACACTGCATCGTATGGGATATGGAAGCCGAAGGCCTGTTCGAACACCTTTGCTGTCTGCACCTTTGCTGTCTACAAGATAAAACGTCTCCAATTCGCACAGGAACACAAGGATTGGACAGTCGAGCATTGGAAAAAAGTCGGAAACAGCATGAAAGCATGCACCCCACATGCATGAGTACAACCCTTCAAGCTGCTGGGGGCAGTGTTATGGCTTGGGGCATGTTTTCCTGGCATGATTTGGGCCCTTTAATTTGTGTGGAACAACGTCTGAATAGCACAACATACCAAAGTATTGTTGCTGATCAAGTTCATCCTATCATGTTGATGGCGTATGCCAATGGAGATGGCTTCTTCCAACAAGACAATGCGCCATGCCACGGTGGTTTCAAGAACATGAGGGAGACTTTACCTTGCTTAGGTGGCCCCAACAATCACCAGATCTCAATCCAATTGAGCATTTCTGGGGCGAAGTTGAAAGAGCCACCAGGCAATGGGTTCCACAACCATCAAATCTCACAGAACTGGACAGTGCTATTCATCAGGCATGGTGCCAGATTCCTCGCATCGCCTTTCAACATCTCGTGGAGTCAATGCCAAGAAGAATTGCCGCAGTATTGAAGGCAAAAGGTGGCCCAACGACGTATTGAGGGGTGGTCATAATAATCTGGCCACTCAGTGTATATGCTGATAGTATGTAGACATGTGGCACGTATAACTGCAGGCATTACACAGCTGTAGTTTAAAATGATCCTAAAATGTAACTTTGGTGTCCCATATTCCAAATGCACATTACAATGTTGTAATTGTTAGCCAGCAGGTAGAGCTTTAGGCTCATTTTTTTTACATGTATACGCTACATACATTCTACATACAGTTGATTGTTTACAGAGCTTTGTAGCTCAAGCTAAAATTTACTGATGCAGGTAAATGATTCATCACATTGACTCTTCCCTTAGGTCCCATCCTAGGTTTCATCCAGACAAAGTAACGCAACAGACAGGCATCTACAACTGTTGTCTTGTTAGTT